CCACGTCCGGTGGTGCCCTTGACTCGCCAACAATGACGCTGGCATTTCCTTCTCCTGGAAAGTTGGGCCAGTCGACGCCCGCCTGAGTCAAGTCAGTCCAACTGTCAGGATCCGCAAGACCCTTATCTAAGGCGATGCCAAGCCGGGATATTCGTAGTGGATATATATCAATATCCACCTTCGGGAGCGGATGCCCGTCCACGGAACAGGTAATCATTATGTCTCGATCAATAGTAAATGTCACTTCTTCTCGGCTGGTCTGGTCGGGCGGCGGCGGATCAATAAGGATATTCCTCGGTGGATAGAAGACGCACATATTTTCATCAGTACTTCCTCTTATTATTGGCACAAGACGCTCGAACTCTCGGCGAAAGGTTTCATTTGCAGCGGGCGATTCTCGGAAATAGGTCTGCAGTAGGGGAACGGTGTGACAAGAAATCACCGCCTCATCGTGTCTCCAGGATACCTTGAAGGTGTACTTGGTATGCTCTAACCAAACACGTGGAATTTCATCCGGTTTGCTCGTTGACTTAGTTATCTCTGAGGTTACGTTTAAGGTGATGCTTTTAGGGTACTTTTCATAGGAGATTCCGTCCAACTTGTTAGTTGCGTATACAAACTGGAGGTACGTCCGAGAACCAATGAGTGTTCGGCCAAGTGGTTTATCGGAGTCATCACAGAAAGTTTGGTAGGCCGGTGTAGTGCACTCCACTTGCACAGTCTCCTCGGCAATAAAACAATCTTTCCGCGTTGTCACCCCTTTTTTAGACACTACCTTCAAATCTAGCTTCGGAAACTCGTTCTTCAAGATCAAACAAACTGGCTGAGAAGCATGTTGAACGAAACGGGTACCGTTCGTTAGTTTTTCTTCATCTGAAATTTCTGTAATGCACCCGTAATAACCATAATCTTCACCAGATGATGGTCCAATGTCCATTGCAAAATCTATTCGGACTTCATTTTCAAGGCGAAAGTTTTGAATCCTCTCCGGATTTTCAAATTGCGGTGTGGGTCGCGAGAGATTCTTATAAATAAAATCATGCTTAACAATCATTTCATAAGTGGTATCGTTGTAGGGTTCTGTGAAATTAATCTGGCGCCTCGTTCTGAACCAAGTAAGGCTGGTCGCAAACACTTCTTGATGCACACTGGTTCGCCGAGCTGTGGGGGTTAGAATGCTTGGGCAATTAAAATGAATGACTTCGGGCACAATGGCCAAGACAGGTCGCACTTCTACAATATCAAAAGTCTTATTCGGTTCAGATATTATAAACATATGCTTCATCGGGCCATACGTAGACTTTTTAGCACATGTGTGTTCAACGGTGCATTTGTAAACGTAAAATCCAGGACCCGGAAGGCTTGACAGCGGAAGAATGCTGGAATTGAAGGTTTTCCAATTTCCTTTCGTTGGTCGGAGGTCAGATTCCGGTAAGGGACCAAGAACCCAATGCCAGCTGACAGTAGGCTCTGGGAAGACATGATCCGTTGGAGAACATTCCAGCTGGTCTTCTTTGTGAAATATAAACCTGTTATCCGGCATGATAAGAAGCGTCCGGGGTGGTACACAGACCATCAAGGGGCCAACACTGGCATTCATACTCATGTTATATTCCTTGACCTCCTGTTGATCAAATGTCAGGAAACAACCGATAGACATATTGAAGTCCTCCCAACCGTCAGCTCGAAATTTGTAGTCGACCACGTGGAAGAGTAGACGTGACGTTGGCCGGAGATCCTTCACCTTCAGTTTCTTGTTAGGGACTCTGTACATCAAACTCTTGGGGGTTTTAAATCTGGCAAGGTAGGGTGGCTGCATTTTGTAACCCAGTATCTTATGATCAGGTTGCCATGACAAACACCTAGCAGTGAGGATAGCGTTATGTTCTATAAAAGGCGAGACAGCCTTCTGAAGTGTCCAATTTCCTGGTTTTTCTCGACGATAGCCTAGTATAGGTGGCTGCTTGACGCGCAACACATACAATTCTTGATCTGGCCATGCTTCGGTATATGAATTGAATTGCTCGAAGCGACAATAATACCCTCCTGCATGTGAAATCTAACAAAAACAAGAATAAATAAATTACGAGAATAAGCAGTTTGATAGAAAAATAGTCTGGTTGCTGAAGAAGGCAAAGCTACCGAAGCGAACGAGGTTTCATGACGTTGTAAAGTCTTGTGGTCTCACACAATGGCAACTCACATGCCTGATCCTAATCCCCTGTTTTTTTTATATCCATGCTGTTTGATCGCCATAGGACGTTTTCTTGTGGAATCGTCAGAATTTTTACTAAGTAGATAGGGTGTAGCTATAAGTTCACCCGTATTGCAGGCGGCTTTGCGCTAAATTTCAGAGAAGCTTCGAGTTACGTTTGGGTGGCTGCTATGGTTACGTTTACGCTCATATAACTGGGATAACCGCGAAGAATCGCTGATGAACCCGCACCGATTGGGTATGGGACTCACTCGTCCCCTTCTGGCTATCACCCGTATTACGGGCGGCTATGTGCTTAATTCCAGAGAGGGTTTGAGTCAAGGCTGCGTTGATGCTGTCGTTATTTTTAGGTAATGGGAAAAAAAGGTTAAGGTTGGGATTAGGGTTACAGTTAGGACAGGAGAATAGGTACCCCTGAGTTTCATTTCAGGGTCACCAGTGGGGTGCGTATACCCGCGTCTAACCGATATGTACTGATTTGTCACCTTTAGTCCCGGAGAGGACTGTCTTTCAACGTCTCGATTCCACAAGTATATTTTAAGTACGAACCCTATTCCGTACTTGTCATCAACAGTGATTATTTTCTCAATGAAGACAGAGGTAAATTGATGAATTGTGCTCACTGCCATAAAATCCCGCGCGGACTAGTACGTTCAGTGGCATATAACTCTGACTGATGCTCAAGAATGCGGGTTATGTGAGTTTCTCTATTGCTTATCAGTTGAATCGGGACACCCCTGCCACTTAGGGACAGCCGATTTTTCGAGTATTCTCGCACTTCCTAAATTCGTCAACGAAATAGATCCATAAAAAATAGATTTCATAAACTCATACGCGCCATTTTCTAAAATCCGCAAAGACTTCTATGCAAGTAAGGACTTTTGCGTAGCACTAACCCTACCTGTTAATGGAGACGTCCAAACTACCTGTGTGTTTATTTCCTTCTTTAAATAAATAAATTGGATATTTAAGGCCCAAGGAACCATTTCATTACAGCCTTTTCATTAAAGCATCTACTAGGTAGACAGAATGCAGTAGGAGTAGAAATGCCTGATCTTGCGCCCACTACAGGCACAACTTTAAAGCTCAACACGTGTTTCGTTGATTTAAGCTCTTTCCGTAACAAAGCAGTGCAACGGACTGCAAATTTGACAGAGCTGTCTGAGTGTGCTGGGGTTACTTTTCGCGGTGATCCCAAATGTAAATGGTGTGATCGTTTGTCATGAAAAATGGGCAGTGTTCCTTCCCCCCTACTGCTGACATCGTCTCGCCACTTCCCCTTTCGTTCCGTCGTGCCTGTCTCCTAGCGTCGGCATCTCCACGACTCCTACCCATAGTTACCGTCCGTGTTATATTCCCCAGTAGTATCCAACTGATCTTACGCATCTACTTGCCCTTTCAAATGGATCATTAGTACAGTACTTCACTATTCATTTGTATCTCTATGTTTCCCTTTTGTGGTTCTCCAATTTAGATACCGTCACATAGATTTCACAAGCTACAAACTCAATTTCTCACGTTGTTTATAGACAAATACTTGAAGAGATGTTTATCTATTCTGAAAAGAAAGAAGATCTTCGGAAAATCGAGTTGTACTCGTGAATTTT